GGGGGGGGGGGGGAAGATGGCGCGCAGGCGCGGGGAGAGACAGGAGCGTGCGAGGAAGATACAGGGCAAAGGGTACCTGATACAGCAAGAGGGCACACGCACAGGGCACTGACCTTCCTCATCCACGGCCAGAACAGTTGCTCCTCTGTTCAGGAGCACTTGCACAACTGAGGCTAGTCCGTTGCGAGCTGCGATATGAAGAGGCCTGTGAAGAGAAGAGACGGCAGCAAGGACAGTGAGAGAGAAGTGGGGTCCGCGCCCACACGCCAACGCACAGGAGCTGTGGGAGGATGGAGCAGGAGACGAGGACAGGGATTTGTAAGTGTGACTGACTGGAGTACAGAGACCTGGTGCGGAAGATTCTACAAGCATGTGTTGCGATCTAAGACCAATCGAATTGAAGCTGCCGTGTTCAATCAGTTCCTTCACTTACATTTGCAGGGCGCCATTTGTGGCATTAATAAGGCCGGGGTCACAAATCTCCCCAAGGATCAACAAGGCAGACATTTCATGGCCCTGGAAGTAAACAGAAACATGTTACCATCACCACCAGACCAGCCCATGTTCACCACAGCTCAAACATATCGCCTTCTCTTCACTCCTCACCAGCTCCTCACTCAGACGGCTGTTTAAAATCATGTGCTTGTTTAAGATCATGTACCCATTTAAAATCATTTACTCTGGAGGCTGGCATCGATGGCTGGGTCCAGCATTTATTGCCCCGTCCCTAGTTGCGCCTCCCCCCCCCCCAACTTGAGAAGGTGGGGAGGGTGAGCTGCCTTCTTGAACCGCTGCAGCCCACCTGCTGTGGGTTGACCCCCCTCAGGGAGGGAATTCCAGGGATTCTGGCCCACTGACAGTGAAGGAACGGCGATATATTTCCAATTCGGGACGGCGAGGGGCTCGGAGGGGAACTTGCGGGGGTGGTGGTGTTCCACTGTATCTGCTGCCCCTTGTCCTTCTGGATGGAAGTGGGGGGTGGGTTTGGAAGGTGCTGTCGGAGGATCTTTGGTGAATTTCTGCAGCGCATCTCGTAGACGGAACACACCGCTGCTACTGAGTGTCGGGGGAGGGGAGGGAGTGGGATGTTTGTGGATGTGGTGCCAAACAGGCGTGGGCTGCTTTGTCCTGGATGGCGTTGAGCTTCTTGAGTGCATCCAGGGGCAAGTGGGGAGTATTCCCTCACACTCCTGACTTGTGCCTTGTAGATGGTGGACTGGCTTTTGGGAGGGGTCGGTGGGGGGGGGAGGGGGGGGGGGGGGGGGGGGGGGGGGGAGTCAGGAGGGGGAGTTATTCGCTGTAGGATTCCCAGCCTCTGACCTGCTCCTTGTAGCCATAGGATTGATATGTTCAGTTTCTGGTCAATGGTAACCCCCCCGCCAGGATGTTAATAGGGGGGGGATTCAGTGATGGTAACACCATTTACATTCTCTCTTGTCGGAGACGGTAACCCCCAGGATGCTGATTAGTTTTTTTTTGGGGGGAGGGGTGAGGAATTCAGTGACGGTTGAATATCATGAGGGACATGGTGAGACTCTCTCTCGTTGGGAGAAGGTCACTGTCTGGTAGTCGTTTGGTGTGAACGTCCTCACACAAATCCTACTGCGTCTCTCATCTGTCCCAAACATCCGACCTGTCCCAGCCATCACTCACCTCCCCCCCCCCCAAACAGACCCTGAAAAACCCTCAATCTCAGCCCCCCCCTTCCTTCCTTCCCCCCCCCCCCCCCCCACCAACAACCACATCACTCCAGTCGCCCTTACCTACTCAGTGGAGTGGGGTGGGTAATACAATTTGGCTCTGGCCTAGACCCTTGCCCTCGAGACCGACAGAGCTCTCCAACCACACCATCTCGCGTTTCCCTCAACGCTCTTGGACCCCCATTTAGGCTCTCGTCGCCATACCGCCACCCCCACCCCCACCAACACCAACACCCCCCTCAAAACAAAACCTCAATCTGAGACCAGCGTAGGCCCGAACACTCAATCACAGCTCGTCCACCTCCGTGTCAAACCCTACGCCCCCCTTTCCGTTCTCCCCACCCTCCCCCCTGCCAAAAGGAGGTGATTTGCAGTTTTTTTTTGGGGTGGGGGGAGGGCTCACTCTTTCCTAGGGTCTGGTCACCCGGCGGTGGGTGGGGGTGGGGTAGCGAACCGTCCACAAACCTTGCTGCAGGCCAGGTGCAGAGCTGTGTTCTTGTTGGCATCATGCAGTGTCAGGTCGGCACTTGCTCTGTGCAGCAGCACCTCTGCAACAGAAACAGCAGCTGGTTTTTACTCGTGTCACACTGCGTGACCCCCCACCCCCACCCACACCACCACAACGCGCGCCCCCCGCCAGTGTTTCACGCACAGGATCACTCGCTCACTGCCTGACAGCGCCACCGTTTCGACCTCTCTCGGCTCCTGGCCCTGGGGGGTGAGACACGGCCCCACTGAAACATTCCAAATTCCGAGGCGGGGGGGGGGGGGGGGGGCCGGGGGGGGGCGCCCCTCTGTACTCCTGCCTGGGACAGGGGTTTTGCTGGCACAGCCAGCACAAGATACCCACGTCCACATGCCCCTTGAACAGGGTGTCACTGAAACACAGAAAACAGGAGTTGGGCCCGGCCATTCAGCCCCTTGGGCCCCGCTGCCCCACCCTATGGGATCGCAGCTGATCGTCCAACGTAATCCCCCACCTTTCTCCCCTCTTCCAACCTCTCCAATGCCCTTCAAGAACTACATCAAACCTCTTATTGGAAACACCCAAGGTTTTGGCCCCGACCGCTTTGTGTGGCAGAGAATCCAACAGGCTCCCAACCCCACAACACACTGGGTGAAGATATTTCACATCTCAGTCCGACCCCATCTCCTTTAGACTGTGAACCCCAACCCACCCCCACCTCCCGTTCTGGACTACAACCCCACCCCAGTGACTCAAGAGACTGGGATGCGAATTGTCTCTGGCCTCCCTCCAAAGTCATTCCTCCTTGAACACAGAGACCAAAACCACGTCATGTGTTCCTGACGTGTTCTCTCGGGTATAATTGCAGCAGGATTCCTGCACTCGGACCGTCCCGGCAAACCCAGGGCTCAGCGTGCATACACACACAGACACGGTCGACACTACAGAGAAGCACGGACATGAGAGTTTGAACCCACAAGATGGGATGGCACAGGCGGGCAGAAACCAAGGAAGCCGGTCTCTGCCGAGCGCACCACCCTCACCTGCCTGCAATCGAAAATGTAACCCACCTACGATCTTGCTGTGCCCGTGCTCAGCTGCCATCATGAGCGGTGTGCGTCCTGTCCGGTCCATGGCGTTGACTTGCGCATGGTGCCTCAGCAGCAGCTGCAGGCACTGCACCTGGTTCGAGAAAGCAGCGGCATGCAGCGGGGTTCTGAGAGACAGGACAGAGGGCACATGCAGTGAGAGAGAGA